GTGGATAACAGTTGCAGGATATGGCCCACATACTTGTCTCAGTGTCTGCTGCTTGCTAGGAATTGCATTTCCACATAGTGGAGATGCCTGCAGTTGTTTTAATGGATGCCCACAACGGCTGCATATAGCAGTACTCACTCTGGGATGGATTCTCTGCATTTGTTCCTTTAATGAAAGCTGCCTGTGATTCAGTCATGATGACTTGATTCATACATTTTAATTCACTCCCACCCAAGCCACACTTTGTCACAATGGTTGTTTCACAACTGGCGTGGCCAAGGGCAAAATGACAGCAGTAGGCTCTGTTTCCAGCATCACCTCTCCCAACACCACCAGCTTACCCTGTAGGGCAACAGGCTCCACAGCTTCACAGTCAGCTCTCTCACCATCTTATTTGTCAGGTTTTGGAAACCACTTTAATGTGAAAAGGGGTGATGACGGTACTCTACTGTAATAAAAAGTGCTGTTTTCTAAAGGGCTGCAATACTGCAACTGAAGTCCGTGTGGCAATACCACGGGGGACATTCTTTACTCACATGCCACCTGGGTGGAGATTTCTCTCTTGGAAGCCGCCTCTGAAGCTCCTTCTTCCTGTAAACTGCAAGAGGAGCCAGATGCCCATAGCAGCTGATTCAGAAATTGCTTTAAATCAGACGATTTCTACAGTTTGTCTTCAAGAAAACTGTCTAATGCTCAGTATTGCTCTATTTCTGACAGTTTTATGGTTTTGGCCAGTAAATAAACTGAAGGCATCTCCATGACAAGAAACCACAATTTTTAGGATGGGGAAAGAAACATGCAAGCCAGACCCTGCATTTCCTGAACGCCAGTGGGAATTCTGAGCAAAGCACCTAGGTGGCTCTGATCTCTTGCATCATTATCCACGAAAGCTTTATGTAGAGGTAACCATTACATTTATATAAAAATGAAGTTAAAAGGATAATTTTCTTTTCAGTTACCTAGAAAATTCAGGATAATAACCTAAATAAACCAGTCAAGGAAATCATAGGATCATAGAATAGTTTGGATTGGGAAGGACCTTTAAAAGTAATCTAGTCCAAGACCCAAAATCTCTCTTTAAACTAGATTGTGAATAAATTTAAAGTAACAACTCATTTTGGTCATTTGCTACTCGTACTTCATCCTTTAATCATTTTACCAGACAGAAAGAGAGCTTCATTTCTGTAGACAACATCCATTTTATGAGAGTTCTTTATTTCATTCACACCTTTGCATCTACAGTTTCTTGGCTTAGACTTCTTATTGCACGTCTCCTAGCAATTCCCGTTGCTTAACATTTTCTGTTGCTTTTCTACACAAAAAATGGTACAAATTCTGCCTCACCTGAGCAGTGCAAGAGAAGCCAGTTACTACTGAAACAAGTTTTCTGAACTCCTCTGAGCTGGGGGAGATTATAAGGCTGTTCACTGACGCTATTTACAAACTGATTCACTTGGGCTCTTCTGGGCCAGTGAATGAACTTGCTTTTCCACATCAGACTGTTCTTAGCACAGAAGAGCATGATCAACCAACATTTTCACATTTAATGCTGGCATCCTTGCTTCTGTCATACTCTCAAAACTAGACTAGTTCCATCACCAGTATGTGGAACTCCTATTTGATTTCATTGGAAGTTGCACCTACAGAAAAACATCTGCAATATTGTAAGAGTTTGCATGAGTATTTTCATGGCCATATATTTGAGTTGTGCTATTCTTGCCAAATAGCATCGGTGATTTTGCAAGCGACAATTACCTGGCAACACACACACAATACAAACCCTTTCCAGGACAATTCACACATTCCCAAACTTCAGGGAAATCTTAATCAGCAGCTGTGATTTTAACTCCCATTTCCCTTATATTGACAGTACTATGGTTCCAGATTACACAGCTGGCGACGAAATAGGAGCTTGACTATATAGAGATGGAGGTAAGCCCTTGGCAAGAACATCTCTTTGAAAGGCAAGGGCATATGTCTTAATACTAGCCAGCCCTCCCTTACTGACACCAATATGCCACAGCAAGTTCAAAGAAGGGTAAATCAGACACAGCATTTACAGATACATGGAGCTTCTTGGAGAATCCAGCTTGTAAGAATAAAGCAGAGCGCACAACAGCAAAACCCATTAGCATCACTGGGTCTTTACAACCTGGGAATGTTAAATAACAGCACTAGCTGCAGGCACCTCGATGAAAAGCAGCAGCAAAGAGTGGTAAGAGGCAACCAGACTAATTTAATTTTGTTTAAAGTGCTACTTGTAAATCTCTGGGCCTCTGTTTCCCCTCTGCGCTCTTTATGTAGTAGCAGCTCCTTAAACCACATAAAACAAGAGTGCCAAGTTCTCTCCGAGAACATTTCGCGGAGTTTAGACTTGTCTGAAGGAGGATGAATTGAATTCACAGGCTATATAAAACAGGAGTCATATTCCACTCTTGAGCCACTACATCACTCAACAAAAAAACCCCTCTATCTGGACCTGTTATATTGAATTTACCTGGAAGAGAAGTCAAAGAAAATTTAGCCTTGTGGTGGGTTGACCCTGGCTGGATGCCAGGTGCCCACCAAAGCTGCTCTATCCCTCCCCTCCTTAGCCAGACAGGGGAGAGAAAATATAACAAAAGGCTCCTGGGTGGAGATAAGGACAGGGAGAGATCACTCAGCAATTACCGTTAACAGGCAAAACAGACTCAACTTGGGGAAAATTAACTTAATTTAATACCAATCAATTTAGAGTAGGATAATGAGAAATAAAACTGCATCTTAAAACACCCCCGCCCCCCTCTTATTCCCAGGCTCACCTTCACTCCCAATTTCTCTCCCTCCTCCCCTCAAACAGCACAGAGAGATGAGGAATGGAGGTTGCGGTCAGCTCATCACAAGTTGTTTCTCATGCTCCTTCCTCCTCAGGGGGAGGACTCCTCACACTCTGCCCCTGCTCCAGTGTGGGGTCCCTCCCACAGGAGACAGTTCTCCATGAACAACTCCAACATGAGTCCTTCCCACAGGCTGTAGTTCTTCACAAACTGCTCCAGCCTGGGTCCCCCACGGGTGCCGTCCTTCAGGAACAGAATGCTCCAGCGTGGGCCCCCACAGGGCCACAGGTCCTGCCAGCAGCCGGCTCCAGCGTGGCCTGCCCATGGGGCCACG